GGGAGCCAAAACTACACCGGCCGATCTTCTAGAGGACCTTACGGTGACTCCCTCCTGGAATTTGATGGAACCGTCGGCTTCCTCTTGCAGGCTTTGCAGGATGCCGGGGTCCACAAAAATTCGCTGGTGTTTTTCACGTCCGACAATGGGTAAGTGTGCACCCAGGCCAGCCTTTTGGGTCAAGAATGGTGGGAGGGCTACAGCGAGATGGTCAACCATTGGCATCAAAGGTTGGCATAGGCCAGGCAGCCATTTAGTGATGAATCCTGCTGCCCTAAACGTCTCTCTGCATAGCTTGGATGGATTCTCATAATACCAGAAAATCCAGTTTAATAGAACCTCATGGCAGTGTCCCAAATGTGCTTTTCCAAAAGGCAATTTGGACTTCCTTGGGATTTTTTTCCCCCTTGGAAACATTTCACTTCTCACCCAAGGAGCTTCTTCAGTTCTGGAGAAGTCCTTCTGTTCTTCAGAACGGAAGAAGCTTCTTGGATGAGAAGCGAAATGTTTTCAAGGAACAAAAAAAAAAACACCAAGAAAGCCTAGTTGCCTTTGGGCAAACTTTAAAAAAACAAATCACTTTTAAACAAATTGTGCATTTAAAAAAAAGAGAGGCAAACACACCTACACATACTGTATATTGTCCCCCACTACTTGAAATACCAATAGATAAGATTGCAACAATAATAGTTTCCACCTCACTCCTTGCAAAACAGGCCCAGAGTTTATCAATGCAGGAGGCAGTCAAACAAGTTTTCAATAACAGTTTTAAAACAAAAGTGTTTATAAATTGCTTATTGTTGAGGACTTGATGGACTGGTCCTGAGGTTCACAGACATTTGCTAAAATATCATTTTTTAAATAAATGTTTTTTATTTTTTACAACAAACATACAAAACAACAAATAAAACATTCTTTCAGTTATACTGTGTGTCAGTTTGGTACATATATCTTGTGCACAATATCTTTAATCTTTTCCTCTTAATTTTACATTCACATAGTGTTGATTAGGTTTTCATATCATATTATATTATTAATATACCATCATTGATCTTTTAATTTGAATTCCATATTATCCTTAGGAGCAAATCTCAGTTCTTACTAATTTTTATTCATGATATAACTTATTCAGGAATAATCAGCGATACCATATCGTTGCTATTATATTATTCGATTTCCTACTTTTCTGTCTAACCGTTGATAAAATAAGTCCCAAGTCTTATAATACTTTTTTTCCCTTCTTGCTCTCTAATTGCAAATGTTAGTCTACTCATCTCTGCACATTCCATTATTTTCTTAATTGTTTCCTCCTCTTATTGGAATTTTCTCCTTTTTCCAATTTTGAGCCAATACAATTCTAGCTGCTGTTAAGACATTAATAATCAACTCTATCAATTCTTTACTGTAATCTCCAGGTAAGATTCCTAGTAAAAATGCCTCTGGTTTGATCCTTTTCTCCTCTCTCGACAGCCCCGAGACGATGCGCGGCTCCCGGGGAGGAAGCTCCGGCTTGCTCAAATGTGGGAAGGGGACGACTTACGAAGGGGGCATGAGGGAGCCGGCTCTGGCTTACTGGCCAGGTCGCATTGCGCCAGGTGAGCCAGTGGGGTGGGAGGACTTCTGCTTGCCGTGGGGCAGGGTCCGAGGTCAGGCTCCTTCCTTCAGCAAGCCCCCCTCTCTCTCTCTTGACTGCTCTCTCTTGGAGCCAGGAGTGACCCACGAACTGGCCAGTACCTTGGACATCCTGCCCACTGTGGCCGCTCTGGCTGGGGTGCCTCTTCCCAACGTCACGCTGGATGGATATGACCTGAGCCCCCTCCTCTTTGGGAAAGGAAAGGTAGGCTTCTCATCCAAGAAGCGTCTTCGGTTCTTCTTGGCTCTTTTCATGCAGGCGTTTCGGGACCCAACTAGGTAACATCATCAATGCTAGAAAGGAGAAGGGGGAGGGGGAGGACGATGACTGTGGGGTCCTTGGTGCTCTCTGAACTTGGCTGCTTTCATGCAGGCGTTTCATGACCCAACTAGGTAACATTATCAATGCTAGAAGGGAGTAGAGTTTATGGAGGAGGAGGAGGAGGAGGACAAATGGCTGCTTTCATGCAGACCTTTCACTTGCAAACTAGGCAGCTTCATTAGGGCTGGGGGTGACGCCGTCTTCCCCAATTCTTCCAACAGAGCCCCCGTCAGACCATGTTCTTCTACCCACCAGCTCCTGATGAGTTGTTTGGGGTTTTTGCTGTCCGCTATGGAAAGTACAAAGCCCACTTCTTCACCAAAGGTGAGCCCTTCGTTTATTGATTCAGTCCAATGTACATGCTGGCCATCTCACTGCCAAGAGGCTTCTGGGAGGCTTACCCACTTACCCCTGAAAGCAGACGCAGACGACCTTGGACGTCAAAATGAACAAAGAAGAATTGATTTTCAAATGCAGAATATTTGGGGTGGGGGCCGAGGTGTTCTTCCTCGTCTGCTAACTGCCTCCAGCGTGGGATGCCCCCATCGGGACCCCAACCCAGTTGGCAGAGCTGGGTTTTAAGGCCTGCCTTCTGGAAGGCCAGGAGGGTGGGGGAGGTCTCACTTCAGGGGCCATGGGGGTTCCATCTAGAGGGTGGGAGCCACAGCAGGAAAGGCCCTTCTCCTGGAACCCCATCAGCTGGCATTCCTTGACCGGTGGGGTCTCCCTCCCTCTCAATCTCTCATCTCCCTCTCTTTCCCTTCTCTCTCTTCCTCCCTCCCTCCCTCCCTCCCTCCCAAGCTCTCATCTCTCTCATCCCTCTCTCAACTCCCTCTTTCTCTTCTCTCTCTCTTTCTCCCTCCCTCCCTCCCAATCTCACATCTCCCTCTCTCATCTTCCTCTCTTTCTCTTCTCTCTCTTTCTTCCTCCCTCCCAATCTCTCATCTCTCTCTCTCTCTTCTTTCTCTTTCTTTTTCCCTCCCTCCATTCCTCCCTCTCAATCTCTCATCTCTTTCTCTTCTCTCCCCCCTCTTTCTCTCCTCCCCCCCTCTCTTTGCCACCCTTCCTCCGCTGGGTGGTTTACCGTGTTAGAAGGAGAAACGCGCCACGCAGCCTCTGCACCCTCAAAATGACCAGCACCCAACTCTCCTCCCGTCTCTCTTTGGATCTCCAGGTGCCTTCAACAGTGCTGCCACCCCTGATCGCGCCTGCAGTGGCTTCACGGCTCTGACCGCCCAGGAGCCCCCTTTGCTCTTCGACCTCGAGACGGACCCTGCGGAGAACTACGACCTCCTGCAAGGCGGGGCCCACAAGCCCGAAATCCTGAGGGTCCTCAAGGAGGCCCGCCTGCTGAAAGCTGCCTTCGACCAGGGCATGGCCTTTGGGGAGAGCCAGCTGGCCTTGGGGAGTGACCGCTCGCTCCAGCCGTGCTGCAGCCCCCAGTGCACCCCCTGGCCCTCCTGCTGCCGCTGTGGCTCTTAGCCCCCCCTGCCCCTCCTTCCATGCCCCCTCCCCCCCCTGTCACCCCCCTCTTGCTTTTCTTCCCTTGGACCGGGGAGCCGGTTTGGTTTAGCAGCCTCCCAAGGAGCTTTTGCCATTTTTTTTATTGGGGGGGGGGGGGGGAAATAAGAACCGCCTCTTGCTTTCTGACCCTGGACAACACGCTCGGCTGGACAACAAGCCCAGGTGCCCACCGCTGGCAGGGAAAGGTTAGTGCATCTCCTGCAGCCGCAATTCTTCCGCTTTTCAAAACAACTCCAAACTCGTCCTTTTTCCCCCATTGAAGACTATTGAGGGTTGGGGGCTGAAGGGATTCGGCCCCAGAACCTCGTCTGTCTCTTGATGACCAGGACCCGGATGCAGCCTTTCGGGGGGGGGGGGGGGTCTTGCCAGAGCGGAGCAAAGCATCGCCAGCACTTCTTGAAAATCCATCGATGCCACCCGGGATTGTGTCGGCCTTTTTGGCCGCTGCAGCGCATGGCTGGCCCACCCCTTGAGCAACGGTCCAGTTTCCGGGCTGAGTTAGACGAGAGCGAGCGAGGATTCCTCCTTGGAGGGTGAGGAGGGGGCCAGGGAATGTCCAGGGCCTAGGAGGGGGCAACTCACGCCGAGGGAAAAGAGACCTGGAACCGCGGAGCTCTGCATTTGGAAGCTGCCTCGGCTCTCACCACCTCATCCCCGCCCTGCAGTCTGCAGTCTGCAGCAAATGCAGTTGCTCCTGCCTTGAGAGGTGGCTGGAGAGAGAATATCAAAAGAGTTGGAAGGGGCCTCAGAGGTCTTCTAGTCCAACCCCGTGCTCGAGCAGGAGACCCTGCACCATTCCAGTCCAAACAGCTGTCCAATCCCTACTTAAAAACCTCCATTGCTGGGGCACCCAGAGGCCAGTTAGGACGGAAGGAGAGAAACACAGGCGTGTTAGGATGAAGAGGTGGCTGAAGCTGCCCATGGGGCTTGCCTGGGCTCTGATGTTGTAAAATAACTTCCTCCCCTGCCATGGGGGCGGATATCATCCTCGGGTGGAGGATGAGGAGGGGGAGGGGGTTTCATTCTCTGAGGAGGTGGGTTGGTTACCGAATGTTTCATTACCAGGCTGGGTAATTTGTTAGCGTTCCAAGTAACGCACCCATGGGAAGTAGAACTGCGGGGCAGGCAAATTCCTCAGTTTTATCGGATACATCATCTTGGCACGACAGGTAAAAGCCGACTGAAAGTTCCCGCAGCTTTCACCTAATGAAAAAAAAGTTTCCGCGTTCCCCGAAGTCGCTAGTCACGCTGTCCAATCCAGGCGCCGGCCGGTTGCTTGGTTACTTGGCTCCTCCCCTGGCCAGCCAACCTGTGAGAATATCCTTGGTTCCCAGAGGAAAGCTTTGTTGTTTCGGTTACAAAACCCCACCTGACTATTTCCCCCCCTCCCTTTGCTGTGTGGCAGCAGATTAACAGATAATCAGAGTTGGAAGGGACCTTGTAGATCATCTAGTCCACCCCCCCCGCCCAAGCAGGAGAACCTACACCATTGCTGACAAATGGCAGTCCAATCTCTTCTTGAAACTCTCAAGTGAAGCCCCAAAGCCTCCAAGACGGCTTTGGCCACCTTCACAGTTCAAGGTTGACGGGAGTTTAGGGGAGGTCAGTGTTGATGTTCTGCTTATCAGGGCTTTGTGGCCTCAGTAGGTCTGGTGATGGGAAGGTCATTTCGGGTGAGGGTCTTGTGGTGGGTCAGGTGTGGGTCCCGTCATAGAACGAGCTTCTTCCTTGGGTGTTGTGGTTCGCCGGCAGCAGGTGTGCACAGCTGAGGTCTCGAAGAGCGAGGACTCAGGTGAGGGGCCTGCATGGGATGCAGGGATGGGGCCAGGACCATCAGGGAATGGAGCGCGGCCTTCGGAGGTTGTGGAGGCTGGCAGCAGTGAGGAAGAGGCCCCCGAGGAGCCTGTGCTCAATGCGGGTGCATGCAGGGCTGCTGAAAGAGCAGCTGCAGCAGCACGGGCGACTTGGGAGTAAGGCTGCAAGGTAATGGCCCCTCCCTCAAGAGATTAAAGCCAGCTGAGAAACCGGAGTTCTTTGCAGGAAGCAAACAAGTTTTTGCACTCAAGCCTTGTGGATGTTCGGACTCTCTTATTTGGTGTTTGGAGATTCTTTGTGTTTGGAATATTTCTTGGCAACTTTATCTCGTGTTCTTGGCAGCCTTGCACCACCTTGGCGAGGCTCGTTCTTATCAGAGACAATTAGCTTGAAGCAGCCTTTTAACCGTGAAGGAACAGAATTCATAAAGAATCATTAAAAGGCCACCTGATGTGGCCTCCCCATCCCCAGTCCTACAGACCACACGAAGCCCTTAGATAAGCAGGAAAACACCAACACAAGATTGCCCCTAAACTCCCCTGAAGGCGTCACCTGGCCTGGTAGTAAAACGTTGGGAAACCGACCCACCAGCTCACAGAAGGAACTTCCACCCTCAACTTTTCCCCTCTTAATTTGCTGCTACCCGTCCCGCACAAGCCCCGGAAGTCTTTCCTAAAACTCCTAGGATTATATCCTGACAGTGAGAACAATTGACCAGTGGAACCACTTGCCTCCAGAAGCTGTGAAGGCTCCAACACTGGAAGTTTTAAAGAAGAGATTGAACAACCATTTGTCTGAAGTGGAGTACGGTCTCCTGTCTGGGCAGGGGGTTGGACTAGAAGACCTCCAAGGTCCCTTCCAACTGTTTTATTCCATTCCACTCCATTGCATATTCTCTATTCTATCTTTTCTTTTCTTTTCTTTTCTTTTCTTTTCCTTTTCCTTTTCCTTTTCCTTTTCCTTTTCCTTTTCCTTTTCTTTCCATTCCATTCCATTCCATATTCTCTATTTTTTTCTTTTATTTTTTTCTTTTCTTTTCTTTTCTTTTCTTTTTTCTTTTCCACTCCACTCCACTCTACTCTATTCCGATTTTCTATTTTCTATTCCTATTTTCAATTCAATTCAATTCCTATTCCCTATTCCATTCCACTCCACCCCAATCTAATTCTCTTCTCTTCTAATTCTATTCTGTATCTAACAAAAGCACTTTTAAAAAGCCTTAATGGAGACCCCAAGCATTGACATCTGTGATGTTGGGTTTCTTCTTTAAGATCAGAAAATGCTAATTGTTTAATTTGAAGTTTAATTATTGTTATTTTTTTTTTAATGTTTATACCGTGGGCATTATTGACAAAGAGAAGTTGTGATTTTTGTGCCTTTGGGAAATAAATTCTTGATTTCTTAAATATGCAATATGGTGGGTTTTTTTTTTCCAGACACAGGTATTCCTCGAGTTATGACTGCTCTCTTAGCGACCGTTCAAAGTTATTGAGGGGCCCTCCCCAAAAAGTTTCAGTGCCTGCCCCCACCACCTGGGCTCGCAGGGTCCCATTTTGCCCCCCCCCCCGCCCGCCCGCCCGAACTGGCCTGCCTCTGGGGCTGTTTGCATAGCGTGGCCGTGATGGATTATTTTGTTTTGCTTGTCCAAAGGTCGCAAAAGGGGACCACGTGACTCCCCCCCACCCCAGGGATACCTCAACGGTCATAAAATGAGTCGGTTGCCAAGCATCCGAATTTTGATCAGGTGACCCTTGGAATTCTGGAACGGTCGTAAGTGTGAAAAATGGTCCTAAGTCACTTTTTTCTGTGCCGTTATAACATTGAACAGTCCCCAAATCTGAAGTAGCATCTCCTCCAATTTAAAATCCTTGGGTTTTTCAGCTGGTGGACTCTGGGTAGAGGAAGATCGAATAGAATAGAATAGAATAGAATAGAATAGAATAGAATAGAATAGAGAATAGAATAAAATAGAATATTAAAGAATAGAATAGAAGGAAAAGAATAGAATATAAGGAAAGAATAAAATAGAACAAAAGGAAAGAATAGAATAAAGAAAGAATAGAATGGAATGGAATGGAATGGAATAGAATAGAATAGAAGGAAGGAATATATAGAATAGAACAGAATGAAAGAATAGAAAGAGTAGAATTAAGAATAGAATAAAATAGAATATTAAAGAATAGAATAGAAGGATAGAATAGAATATTATAGAATAGAACAATGAAAGAATAGAATAAGGAAAGAATAGAATAGAATAAAGAGAATAGAAGAGAAGGAAAGAATAAAATAGAACAGAAGGAAAGAATAGAATAGAATAAAGAACGAATAGAATAGAATAGATTCTTTATTGGCCAAGTGTGATCGGGCATACAAAAAACTTGTATTTGGTGCATAAGCTCTCAGTGTACATAAAGAAAAAATAAAATACATTCATCAAGATTCATAAGATATGACACTTAGTGATAGTCATAGGTTACTAATAAGCAATCAAATCATACTAGGAAACATAATAAAGCAATATAAATGGTAAAGATACAAGCAACACAGTTACAGTCATAAGTGGGAAGAGATAGTAGGAAGGGTGAGAGGAATAAAAGTAGTGCAGACTTTGTAAATAGTTGGACAATGTTGAGGGAATTATTTGTTTAGCAGAGGGATGGCATTGGGGGAAAAAACTCCCCTTGTGTCTAGTTGTTCTGGTGTGAGTGCTCTGTAGCATCGTTTTGAGGGCAGGAGTTGAAACAGTTTATGTCCAGGGTGTGAGATTTATTTATTTATAGCAAGAGATTTATAAACACCCCCTCGCAGAAAATGTCCAAGCCTCTAGAAACTCGATTGCAATGGGTTTCAAACATGGCGACTTTTAAGAGCCGTGGACTTCAACTCCCAGAATTCCCCAGTCAGCTTCACTCTATTGTGTGTAGGCATTCCGCCAGCTTTGCCACGACCACCAGCCATCTTCTGAGTAATTCTTTGGAGCCGCCATTATGGCAGGTGCTATGTGAATCCAGGTCAGGGTTGACTCCAGGAGCTCTTCCCACGCTGAAGGCCACAAGTCTGGGGCAGGAGCGGTCGAGTGACCCCTTCCTTCTGGCCTGCCCTCATGCACCGGGGCCAGATCCGTCTCCTAGCAACTCGGAAGGAGAACCCACTGATGTCGACATCTCCCTGCTGTGGCAC